AAGGAAAGGGTAGAGCAAAAATGAACATGACTTTGTAACTAATATACATTATGAGATCAATAAAAAGTTGCCTGTACCTTTGGTGATGGCAAAAGAGAAGAATTACAAGAGGGATTACAGAGTCAGTTAGCCTGTTAGTTATTCAACAAAATCATAACTATAGATGTGTAGGAAAGCCCATATGAAAATATGAGATATAACAGAGAAAGAAAGAAAAAAAAGTGATAGAGAATGCAATAACCAACAGAAAGGCGAAAGAAGAAAATTATAAGCAAATATACGTGTGCTCATAGGCATGTTTTAATCTACTGCAGTACAACATTTGACCACTAGAGGAAGTCATACTACAGAAGCTCCAATCTGGTATCAGATTTTAGAATCGTACAAAAGTGGAGCAGGTGCTTGAGCAGCCTATCTGCTTTTATTTTGCATTTTCCAGGAAAATAAAGCAATTGGACTTATTTTCTAAGACAGTGAAGATTTTTTACCATAATGCATAGCAGCCGGGTATCATGCAAAAATGTAATTTTGTCCAGTGACCGCAGCAATCTGAATCTGATTGGATGAGTTATGGCTATTTGCATGTAGCCAAGGAAGTTTTTACTGGGAGAACTATGCATGTTGTGATTTCTAAACTCTCCGTTTTAAAAAAAATGCTAGTTATCTGGCTGGCATGCCGTATCATCAATTTCAATATTTCCTGATGCTTTCTTCATTTGCTACGTCTGATTTGCTTTATTTGTTGCATTTGAGACACAGACAGTAATAAAGTGTATGTCTAGGCAGGCGAAAAAAAATAGATTTCGTACATCTCTCATATACATGCACATTTCCTTATGTTTTGTTTCTTTAAAAAGCTGCAAGGGCAGAAACATACCCGTTTATCCTTTTAGATTGTAAGCCCTCACGGGCAGAGCCCTCCTTACCATCTTGTCTTGAATTGTATTATGATTGTAATGTCTTCCTTATATTGTAAAGCACTATAGAAATCCTGTATAATAATCATGGCAGAAATGCATTCAGCTCCTAACTTCCTGTTGTGGGCTGACAACGCACTGCCATTACTGAACTTTAAGTGCAAGGAATGGTGTTAGCTCTGCCCAGTTTTAGTTTTTCTGAATTGCAGAATACCTTTCCCCCTCTTCATCTCTACACCATAGGAGGGTATTTTGTAGTTCAAGTGAGCAAGGAAGAGGTGATATTATTCCTTGAGATAAGACAGCGGAAAGTACGGGGCACAGTACCTATTGATCTTGCCAGAAATCCAGTGAGCTACTAACATCCCGTGCACACTGCCTCTGCTGCACTTGTCAGCCTTGCTCACTTCACCTCTGTGGACTACAGAACTTCATGAAGGGGAAGGTGTTTTGTAACATGCCACTTGTCTGATGGTGGCAACATTTCTCCTCCATACATGAGGTACAGTGAGGGCTGTCACATTAGCAGGGCTCAAAATTTCCACTCGCCCCCTCGCAATTTGCGAGTGAAAATTGCGTGGGGGGCGAGTGGAAATGAAGTCTCCTCGGGGCGGCTTCTCTCCTGTTCACCGACCTGATGACAGCGCTCCCTCGTCCATCCGTCTAAGCAGGGGGGCGCAGGAGGGAGCGCTGCCTGCTGTCAGGATGGCGGAGCGGTGAGGGGGAGAGAAGCCGCACCCGCACCTGTCAGGATGGCCGAGCGGAGAGGAGATCGGAGCCGCTGTCATCCTGTCAGTTTTACGATGATAGCGGCTCTGTGCGTGGCAGAGCGGGGGATCGGTAAATATCATTGATATTTACCGATCCTCCATGTGAGGACAAACACTGGAGCGATCGTCTGATCACTCCAGTGTTTGTAAATAACTGGGGACACATAGTATTATGTGTCCCCAGTTATGAATGAACAGGCTGTGATCTACATCACAGCCTGTTCATTCATGAATTTCTCAATGGGGAGAAACACTCAGTACAGAGGCTCCTCCCCATTCAGAAACAGCTGAAAAAAGTTATTTTCAGATGAAATGTGTATGTGGAATGCTCTGTGCGTTGTGCTGTGGCTGTATGTGTAATGCCCTGTGCGTTGTGCTGTGGCTGTATGTGTGTTGTGCTGTGTGCGCGTTGTGCCCTGTGTGTGTTTGTTTGTGTTATGCAGGGCAACTGGTGGCGAGTAACTTTGAAGGCCTGGCTTAGTAGCTCAGGACCTGAAATTTTGAGCCCTGACATTAGGATAGTAGGGGGCTAATGTATAAACATTTCACCCAGCGCATAGCTTAGCAAATGCCATTCGCACGGCATTCCTGCTATTAGGTGGAGCCGAGGAGCAGCTGTCTTTGTAGGCCAATAATGTGGGTATTTATTTTCTTTACAGTCTCTTCCCCCTTTTCTCCCATCAAAATTCTTCACGTGGCAGCCCACAAACCCTTTTGCAGCAGGAGGTATGTAACCATATAAATAGAAATGCACTTGGATAAGATGAACAGGTTCTAACAGGCTGTCTGTTTTAGAGAATATTACGGAGCTCCCTCACTTCTCCTGCCCACGGCTGGTCAGTAAATACGCCATACAAGAGAAGCTAGATATTTTCTTCTACTTACGCAGTGGACGCCCATCAATGGCTTTCTACAATTTCATTTTGAATCAGCTACTGAGAAGCGAAACACCTCAACAGTTGTAAGTCAAGTGTATCTTAAGCCAACAACATAAATGTAATATGGAGCAGGCTACCAGTTTTTACATGTGGTGGCTGCATCAATTTTCTTTTTTCAGGCATTTTTACTTTATTTTTCCCTGGAGACCCTGCTGGTAACACACTTCCTGTCCATGGGTGACAACGCTTATTCACTGTACAGTATCTATGGAGGACTATGAAAACTTTTCCCTCCCCTTTATCTCGTTACATAGAGAGCACAGGTTGTGTAGTTAACAGAAGATGGCTGGGAAAGCTGATAACATTGTTTGAGATTTCAGTTAAAGTGACATTAAACCCTCAGATTTTTTAACATAAAACAATACTGTAATGTGTGCCTTACTGTAATCCATGGTTGTTTCCCTTCTCTTTGCTGCTCTTCCTTTTAAACCTGTATCTGTTCTCATGCTGGGCAGAACTTCTTTTTTGCAGCAGACTGCCTTGTCTCTGAAATAGATACATGGTGTCTGTGTGAAGGTTCACAACCTGAGCCAGCACTACAGGAAGAGGCACTCAGCTGAAAAGGGAAGTTCTCCCCCAGCATGAGAAGACATGAGGATTTAAAAGGAAGAGCAGCAAAGAGAAGGGAAACTACCATGGATTACAGTAAGGCACACATTACAGTATTGTTTTATGTTAAAAAATCTAAGGGTTTAATGTCACTTTAAGTGGACGGGAATTTCTAAGGATGTTGGATTTTTATAAGAATCAACAGGTATCAACAACAGCCTTACTCTGTCTGTGAAGAAGCAGTGTGTTGTCCTAGGAAGGGAAGTGTATTATGACAGAACACCTTCCCCTCTCCTCTCTCTAACATGGGGAGAGGTGTTCTGTAGTCAACAGATAGAGTTGATAACACAGCTAACTGATAACAGTGGAGCAGAGTCTACAGGGCGTTTTGAGCTTACTGAATTTCTGGAACGATCAACAGGCATTTTTTTTGCATTTGATGAACAGATTGAACAAAACACTTCTATTGGTATGTTTAACAGACCAGAAGGTAAAGAATATGAGAAGTACATGATCAAAATACATATATACAAGTTAATATTTTTATTTTATAGTATGAGGGTTATCAGACTTACACCTGTTAGAACTTAAAGTGATATTAAAGCCTCTTTTTTTTTTAAATGCCTCCTTTAAGGAGACCCTCCTTTGCTGGAGGCTGTTGTTTTTTTTTCTTTAAAAGTTTTTCATTCCTGGTTTTCTAGTGGGTCCCCACAGTGCTCTTCCCCCCGCCCCCTGCAAGGGTGCCACCATCGTTCTAATGGAGGCACCCGTGCGCTCGCGCCCGCAGTGGCTGTGTGCACCCATAGACACACACAGCCCTGTGGCAGGCCACGCCCCTTACCTCTTTGATTGATGGCAGAAGGAGCCTATGGCTCCTCTGCCATCAGTATTCTCCCCCCCGCAACCCAGAAGTTCAGAGAACGGAGGATCGCTCTGGGACCGGCGGCGGGGACGAGCGGAGCTGACAGGTAAGTGTGGAGGGGACTGGGGTAGAAAAAAGGTGCTGGACCGTTTTTACCCTAATGCAGAGAATGCATTAAGCTAAAAAACGCCCAGACCTTAATGCTACTTTAGTGCCGGATGTTTGGCATTAAAGCTGGTTAGGGGAGGGCTTTGGTGGATTACAGAGTCCTTGAAATTTAAAGGAGTATTAGACTGCCAATAAAGAATCCAGATCAAACAAACACACATTGCCCAGCAAAGTATTTCTTTACATTTTGCTGAAGAACTTACAGTCGTCATGTTTTCGAACAGCTCCAACTCGCTCAGCTCTGCTTTCTGAACTTCCTGTCACATACAAGATCACAAGGCATGGGACAGAGCAGTCTCCAAAAGCTGTCCATCTACTAGCTTGGAGAAGGGAAGATAGAGGAGGGAGGAGCAGAGAGTAGGGGACTGGCTTGCTTTGCTGTGTCTGTGTGTTTGTGGAGACAGCTTACTAGTACACAAAAGGGTGGCTCAACAGGACCCTGCACGTGTCAAACACCAAGAAGCAGCATCCATTGTAAGTGATTTAATCAGCATTTGGAATAGCTTACTGTGCCCCTGGCAGTATCTGAACTTGTGACAGATTACATTGTACACATTTCCTTTTTATAACAACGTCCCCATTTATTTGGCAGAATCAAGCAGGCTGCTGAAGATGTCTATGTGTTGGCCCTGTCCTCTTTTAGCGTCTCCTCTATCATCGCCTCCTGCGTGTGCTTTCTTGAGCTACTTGGAGTCAGTAGTCACAAGTTACGGGTAGATGTCAATGTGGCCAACATTATCCAGAAGAACACTATATCTAACCCAGAGGAACCAGCATACAAATCCCATACGCAGGAATTAGGTATTCTTCTGTACAATGCTGTATTTCTATGGTTCCTTGAAAGTGCAGTTATTGTCCCTATGATTATTTATTTATTTTATTTATTACAGGTATCTATATAGCGCCGACAATTTACGCAGCACTTTACATAATTGCACATGCACAGTAGTCGCTACCTTCAAGGAGCTTACAATCTAAGGTCCCTATCTCACATGCATACATAGAGGGCAAACTTAGAAGAGCCACTTGGGCTGGTGTTCTATCGATAGTCCCAACTTATCGAGTTCTGGGACCGCCTGACTTCCGGTTTCCTTAGAACTGCGAGGATTGGCCAAGAAAGTTCTTCTGCACGAGCGCCATCTGCGTTAATTCCCTATATACATACACCACAGCAACAAAGTAATAAAATGAACTAATATCACAGTAATCCAGCACAGTAATCATTGCTGTGCTGTATGTGTATAGAGCAATGGCGCTCGTGCAGAAGAACTTTTTTGTTTAAACCTCTTAGTTGTAAGAAAGCTGAAGTCAGGCGGTCCCAGAACTCGATAAGTTTGAACTTTCGATCAATCACCGGTGATCTGTCGACACTTATCGAGTTCTGCGACTGCTTCCGGTTTCGTTACAACTAAGAGATTTGTCCAAGAAACTTGTTCTGCACGAGCGCCAGCCAAGGCATTGGCCTATACACATACAGCACAGCAATGAAGTAATAAAATGAACTAGGCAACACTAATCCAGCACGTTATTAATCTCACGTGCCCCACTCAATATGGCCGCCGCTTGAGTGGGGCAACTCAGAATAATAACGTGCTGGATTAGTGTGATCCTAGTTCATTTTATTACTTCATTGCTGTGCTGTATGTGTATAGGCCAATGTAGTTGGATCTGTTTGTGCGTTATAATTAATCGAAATTAATCAATTAAAACATTTTTGATTAATCGAACACGAAAATTGTAATCAGTAACAGCCCTAATATATATATATATATATATATATATGTGTGGAGGTGGGGGTGCATTTATAATTTTTGTCACACGGCAAGGTAATGCTAAACAGGAGCAGTGAGACCAATTGTGCCACAGATTAACTACAGGTTACAGCTTGATTGCAGCTTGATTTGCACATTTTATAAAAGCTCTAAAGTAGCACTGCAACAGAATAAAACCTGCCTCTGGCTACCTCCTAGTTGTGCATCTGTTTAGAGTGAAAATTGTTCTCGTCTATAGTGATAAATCTGTTGCAGGCCTGTGCGAATTCATCCCAGTTGGATGCCCAGGATTGCAGGTGTGGGGGTCCCAAATACACAAAAAAAACTGTTGCATAGACTTTGCTAAATGAGAAGCAGCCTGATTTGTGTCTATTTGTATCGTTACTTTGCTTGATGTATGTTTTCAGCAGTATGTTCCTGTTACAGTTCACTGGGGCAGCTAGTGGACTTTAGCTTTAAATTTTCTGCCCCTGGTATAATAAAATAAATAGAAATATATAATTATTATGGTCATGTCTCCCTAATTCCTGCAATGGTTTGTCTTATATTTTTCTTAAGCACAAAGATTGTTAAAGCTGGTGGACAATGAGACCGAGGCTGCTAAAGATCTTTTAATGAGCTTGGAGGAAGTTGTGGCTGTGGATTTGGAAAAAGAGGACAGGTATGAAACTTCTGATCTCCTAGATCAGGGTAGGCAACCTCCACCCTCCAGCTGTGGTTAAACCACGGATCTCTACCATTGGGTCTGTGGCTGTCACAGTCTTGCAGTGCCTCATAGGATGTGTAGTTTTGCAACAGCTCCAGTTCCAAGGTTGCCTACCCCTGGTCTAGCCGGTGTTACATCTGATGTGACGCCGGCTAGGTGGTCTCTGTCAATGTGTTTCTTCCTGTCTGTTGGATCAGTACGTAGACTCTGTCTGTATTCTGTAGATTGAAGGAAGTGGTTGTTAAATGTGTAGTGATGCTTGCACAAGGTAGAGGTAGCATAGCATAACCAAAACATGTACCCTCCTGTTGAAAATGGTGTTCTATTTCCTCAGTAAATGGTCACATTGGGATAAATGCTGTAACCTGGAACACTCAGCAAAGTGTGTGTCATCATTCTGAAATGATGGATTTGTTTGCTTGTAATTAGAGCATAATATGGTTTTATTATTCTCTTTCCAGCAGTTCTTGCAATGGCTTATGGGTCACGGCTGTACAGTTTTGTCACTTGCACTCCATTCCGACAAGCTGTTTACATCTGAGACACTTTGCACGGAAACAAAATTGGCTGCAACTCCTTGTTCACGCAAACAGCCAGGAGCAGGTAAGTGTACCTCACAGCCACTTACCTTCTCATTCTGTGTCATATCTGCCACCTTTTCTTCCTTGTATTTCTTCCATTGCAGATTTTCCTTGTTCTGAATGAGCTCAACCCTGTTTTGGGTAGCCACATCGCCTTAGCCCTGCAGGGTAACGGGTCTGCTCACTGCACCATACAGGAAACGGACATGGAGACAAACCCAAATACTGTCCATCATGTTCTGCAAAAATGCCTCAGTACAGCGGAAGAGGGACAGACACTTCTGAAAGAGTGCGGGAGGCACGGTGTACCTCTGTTTAGTGTGTTAGCAACTTGTACAGAGGTGAGTGATTGGAACACCAGAAGGACTTCTCTATACACCTGCTAGAGGAATGTTCTTCAATTTAAAGGAAACTTGTAGTAAGAAAATATGAAGGCTGCCATTGCTTACTTTTTCTTGTGATAAATGCCAGTTGCCTGTCTGCCATGCTGTTGCAGTGGATCAAATACTAGTCACTGACCTTGTTTATAAATGTTTTCTTTACATATATGGTATTTTGTTTGTGCTGACACACAGCACTCCCCACTTTTAAACATATATACAGCGGTGTATTTACCTTTGCTACTGCCCTAGGCAAGGCAGCAACGACGCCCCCCCCCCCCCCCCCCCCAGCCGCTCCAGGCAAACGCCTTGTTTGCCTCGCGGCAGATACGCCCCTGCATATATACATGTTAGGAATTCTGTCTTCATGGCCAATGTGCATGCTTGTTTCAAGTCGGCACCTCAGGTTATTGAAGTCAGAAACAAGCAGGTAACTAGCATTTTCAGAAGGCGGTCAGCAATGGCAGCCCCATATGTTGTTCAGGATAACAACTTTTGGAAATAGCTGCTTACACTGTGCCACAAACTACTGCACTTTGTCTGCATAAACACTGATAATTGATCACTAAATGCATCTAATGTACACAACAGTAAGAATATTGAGTAGCCTATAATAAGCAGTCATTCTGGTTGTAGTTTTACTAGTGGGAGTGAAAAGATGTACAATTGAATAAGAAATGACATGAAAAATGGTCTTCTTGACTATTATAGGTTCCACGTCTCATTCCTCCAGTTCATACAAATCTGCCTGTGTGTATTGGTGCATATATCAGGCTGCTGTAATGTTACCTATGGGAGTACACATGGGTGAATGTGGGTGCTCTTTAACTTTTCAATGTCTTTTTTCAATCAGAATGCAGACATCCTCTCCTGTATGTGCGCTTGGATTGTTACATCGGTGAATGCTACCACACACTTAGAAATTACACAGACGTTGTCGACTCCTGAAGACCACAAGTGGAACCTAGAAGATCTCACACAGATCTGGAATATTGTGCTGGGAAGGAAGGACAGTGGGACATTACACAAAGCATTCACCATATTTATGGAGGTAATCATATGGCTGGATAGGGAAAGGAGCAATGTAACCTGGAAATACAGGTTACTTACAAAATAAAATCACAAGGTCAGACTGCTGGACATAGTGAAATAAAAAAAGGCAAATCAAATAGGTTTGTAAGCTCTCAGGGACAGGGCTCTCCTTAGCATCTTGTCTTGAATTGCATTGTAATTGTAATGTCTTTCTTATATTGTAAAGCGCTGCACATACTGTTGGCGCTATATAAATCCTGTATAATAATAATAATAAAACTGGAGCTAAAAAATCAACTAATATCCTTTTAGATCGAGAGTTATTAGAAACAAAATCTGGAGGCGTATGTATTGTCCAGCCCCCAGAGCAGGCATCTGGCTCTATTCTGCTCACTCCCTTTCTGACACTTCTCTTTTCTGTCCTTTCTCGTCTATCCAGTCTATTAGGGTTCTTTTATCTACCGAAAACCTTGGATGAGCCAGAATTCTTTGCATCACGCCTATTGATATAGGAATTGTGACTTGTTTGTCCAATTGCTTGTGAGCTTCATTTTTTCCTGCATGCTACAATAATATGAAGTCATAGAGCAAGAAAGCAGTATTGAGGGAGTTATTTCTCGGTGCAGCAAAGAAATAGAGATGGATAGGTGTAAATGGTCCTATGCACAGCTAAAAGGTATCTGTTTAATATGTTTACAGGACTGCCCACTGCTGCTCTTGCTTGATATGTTTGAACTCTGTCTGGAATACAAGGATTATTCACAAGCTAAAGAAAGAATACTGGAATTCCAGAAGAAACTAAAGGAGGTAAATCCGCTGTGGAATATCAGTGTGCCAACTGAGGTTTGTTAGTTTTCCGTCGGTTGGTGTCGTTTTTTTTATGTGTAGTACAAAGCAGAGCTGTATAAAAAAGTGTCGAAAGCTGCAAGCTATGCCTAATCAAAAGGCTTTGTTCCTATAATGCTAAAACTAACATTAGCCCACGCTCCCTAGCCCTCCTGAAATAATCTACACTAAAACCCCAATTCTAGCTACTCACTTGCCCCAGTTGCCCAGCCGTTGCCTGTTTTGATGCTAACAGCCTCTTCAGCAGAAATGCTCCTCACTTGCCCCAGTTGCCCAGCCGTTGCCTGTTTTGATGCTAACAGCCTCTTCAGCAGAAATGCTCCTCACTTGCCCCAGTTGCCCAGCCGTTGCCTGTTTTGATGCTAACAGCCTCTTCAGCAGAAATGCTCCTTAGCACTCAAGTAGGGTTTATTGAGGGTTTATTATAGGGGTGCAGCCAGCACTGAAAGGGATTAGTGCAAAATAGGCTGTACATGTGGAAGGGGTTGCAGCTGTGCTTTTAAGACAAGTGTCAGGGTATTTTAGTGTATGGGGGTGTGGAAATTTAAAAAAAAAATACTTGTCCAAGGACTAAGGCCCAATCTGCTTGTCCCTCATGACAATCTACTTTTTGGGATACAAAAAATAATTTTAACCAAGCTGTATTTAACCGTGCTAAGAAGCACTTCTCATTTGTCAGCGCGGTCACCTGAGTGCTCGCAATTTGTGAGCGAAATTCAAAATCCATAATCCAGGGCTGCGCTGGATGGCAGTATGGGATACAGATGGTACACCCGTAACGGCGGAGGGGAAGGACCATTCGCCGAAAGGTAAGTATAGTTGGAGGGAGAAGGGGCCAGATTTGAGCGGGTAATTCCATTTTCCCAAATTACTTGGGAAGGTTAAATGACCCTTTAATGCAGATTGTACGTGTTAGAGAGCGCTGCTGCCCGGCTACCACAATATGTCACACAGTGTAATGGGCAGCACTCACACACAATGCCTTACACGTGCGTTTCATCACATGTAGGTGACGGGGTCAGTGGGCTTGGTTTTAATTTTTTTTTTTATTATTATTTATTTTTGTAATTGTTTTAACTTTTTTCCCACTT